TTTGTAAGTCCGACACAAGATCGATGAAATCTTTCCTGACACAGGGAACATATAAGTGATTTACCGTGTTCCACATGATCAAGTGTGCATGAAGTGGTACATCGAATTCTGGAGTTCGATACTTGTGTTAAAGTACTAGTATGTATCATTCTTGAGTTGTTTGGAACATCGATATCGGTGGACATCATGCTCTTAATCTTGTTATGAACCATCAGCGCATGATTTAAAACCTCAGCTTCTTCAGCATGTGGTACTAGATCATTAAGTTGAGAGCGGATTCCCAATAAAAGTTCGTCATAATTTAAGTTTTCTATACTATCATCATCAAGAAGAGACTGTATAGTACACACATTCAATGAACAATACTCTGAACTTTTGGAAATAATAAACAATGAATGAAAACGCGCTTGCCTCACTGGAGACTTAAACCTCGATATTTCTGACTTAAGCTCAAACCAGGTCTTAAATCACATAGATCATGTTACTTCATACTCGTAGTCAGCAGGAGTACAGGAAAATACAACAGACTCCATAAATGGCAAAACGAACAAAGAAAAACAACGTCAAAGATTAAGAGATGAGATCGATATTTTTTGGGGAAGACACAGCAAGAGAAAGAGATTGATTTGGTGTTGACATCCTAAAGCCTTTGAATGTTATCAACGTGGTCGAGCCTTGAGTGTGACAGCTTAATTTTATCTACCATATGGGATTACAGCCAAGACAAACCCAGCCGCAGGAAGAATCTTAGATAACCCACCCTTTGATAATTTCATATTCGTTTATCAATTTACTATTTTAACATCAATTTTATTTTTAAAATAATATTTAATTCATGTACAGTTTTATGCATACTGCAGTAAAAAAAATAGGCCTATCCTTATAGGCATAGGGCTAGATTTTATATATTGAAACAGATAACTTAAACACGTTAACAAAATTTAACACATATGATAAATTTGAAAAAAAAATGTATACACAAATTGAATAGGCTGCAGTTTTTTTGTTTTTTTTTTGTTTTTTGATAGGAAATATTTCTTGTTCATCATCTGACTAGCAATATTAATAACAGCACAATTTATATTTTACCATCTATTTTGAAATTTAAAGTTTGATAATTAATCCTTTTATCATCTGTTACTATATGTGGAATGTAACAAACTCAGGTAAGCAGTTTTCGTATTGTTGTTGTTGAAAATTCACATCCGGGAGATTGGCCCTGTGTGCTTTTGTATGGGAGAGATGATAGCCCTTTTTCTACCTGTGGTGCTTCTTTAATCAGCGAACGATGGGCTATAACGGCTGCTTACTGCGTGCAAGATATTTTCTTTCACATTTTGTCTGCCTTAAAATAATAATTTTACTGTCATATCAACAAACTATTTAAAGTTAATTCAAAAGATAATAATGTATTGGATTTTTGGTTAAACAACTGTGAATGAATATGTATTACCGTACTATATACTTGATATATTGCTTGGCCCCTTTTTTCTTCGGAAAGGGTCCTTTAAAAAAAAAAAAAAAAAATGGTGCAGAAACAATACCAAGCCGCAGACTATTGCAGCCGTAGATAGTTATTTTTTCAGAGAAATTCCTTATCAACGTCGTATATTAATTTTAATTACTGAGGTTTCTTGGAGTGACCTCTAAGATCGTAAGGATTTGCATTTTCTCTGCACCTTTTCCAATTTAATGATATCTCGTTTCAAGATAGGTTTCATATAATGGCACCGTACCCAAGTATAGGTCTTATACTTGATTCATAAACGATTAATACTTTTCTTCAGTAAAGTTCTGTGAAGCATCACTTGATCAATCCTAGCCGCTGCTAATGTAAAAATTTGAAAAATTAAACTTAAAGTACAATGATAATATAAAAGATTCAAAAGTCAGAACATGTCCATTGTCCGACCACTAAGCTAAAATTTTCCCAAACATTGTTTGATAAGTTCTTATCGGATTAGCTAGGCCTATCCTCATGCTCTGCATTGTCTATTGCCTGTAAAAGAGAGCAAGAAGTATAAGCATGCCCGTAATGGAACAGACTTACTAAATTTATAACTGTATATAAAACGTTTTCTCGTAGGTAAAATTTGCTATGGCGAGCAGTAAACATGAGTGAGCAGAACATTTATTGATATTATATAGTATATGTGTGGAGATGATAGAACTACTAACAAAAATTAAATGAAAAATTACAGAAAAATACATATATGTATGTATGTAAAATATCATATCGGTACGAATACATAAGTGTAGTTATCTTCTCCTTTTCCGGTGATGCGTTTAATACTATTACGGCAGGAATAACAACTTCAGGCGATAATTCTGTGTTTTGTGAAAGTGTCCTTATAGACGAGACTTTCATCCATCCAGAATATGATGCCGTTAGTAATGATAATGATATTGCATTACTTAGACTCGATTCACCGCTACAATTTAATCTACTTGAATCAGCCAAATTGCTATGAAAGCTTGGAATATCGGCCAGGTACATTGTGTTATGCAGCAGAATGGAGACTTTCTCTGGAATATGGTAAGATTATGATTTTACAGTTGCGTGCATGTAAGTCGTGACTTATATAAGTCCGCTACAATATTCTTGCTGTTAATTGTAACAGAGCCTGTCCACTCAATGGTTGAAATTCTAGCAATGCCTCATATGTGATAGTTACACACCCATTTTATTTTTTTTAATTGCAAATAATGACTTATAATAATAATAATATAATAATAATAATAATAATAATAATAATTATTATTATTATTATTATTATTATTATTATTATTATTATTGTTATAATAATAATAATAATAATAATAATAATAACAATAATAATAATATTATTAATAATATTAATAATAATAATAATCTTCTTCTTATCGAGTCACTACGTAGCTAGTGTGTAAGATCTAGCTTACGTAGTGTGGTAGAAGGATTCGCAGGTTGGATGGGTACCTGACATAGGCCGTGTCGAGAGCGCTCCTTCTGTGGCCAGACAGTGGACTAGAGATATACCGGTACACCTGGGTAACCCCCTACTCTTCTTGAACGATGTGCTGAGTTCTTTTAAAGTACACACAAGCCAATTGTGTACACTGGGCGTACGGTTTAGAGTCCTTATCTGAGAAAACTTGTTCCACCACCGAAACCATAGGCGAGCGTGCCGTTCGAACCAGCGCCGATATTATGGCTGTAAGTCACGGTTCCCCTATCTTAACCGCTCGACCAATCGACTCGCCTATAATAATAATAATAAATAAAAATAATTTGATAGATTGGACAGGGCTTAAACTTTTATAATAATAAAAGATTAAGCCCTGTCCAATCTATCAAATTATTTTTATTTGACAAAAACATGTGACATATAATAATAATAATAATAATAATAATAATAATAGTAATATTAGTAGTAGTAGTAGTAGTAGTAGTAGTGGTAGTGGTAGTGGTAGTGGTAGTGGTGGTAGTAGTAGTAGCAGTGGCAGTAGTAGTAAAACCGTATTTACAAAGCACATAGGCCACTGATGCCACAAGGCGCTCTGTGTGTAATGTAATATTTTGCCATCTCAGAAGAAACTGATATTGCTACATGCTAAGCCCAGTGGCGTCAGGGGGAGGTTGTGAACACACTGTTGCACTCACAAAAATGTGAAAACGCCCACAAATGTAATAACACAAACAAATGTAACAACCCAAAGTCCACAAATCTAATAATGCCCACAAATGTAACAACCAGCGCCCATAAATAATGTAACAAACACATAATTTCATTTTATCGTGCAAGCTGAAGACTTTTGTTTAACCTTCATGACCAGAACCAGCTTTTCCACTATTTGAATACTCATAGATAATCCACTGGCTAAGTCTACGCTCGATCGGTGGCATAGGACATGTTGCTCGAAATAATATATGCATTTAAAAAGTTAAGCTCTCAGTGTATTTTTGTTACGTAGACAACTTTAAAAAAAGGCAAACAAAATATATATCATAACTTTAGGCTAATTAATAACTTTATGTAATCATAATAATAAAAAAAAGCTGTTGAAGTAGGAGGTGGATAATTATTATTTATGTCACTGTAACCAGACTGTGAAAGTTAGCTAAAAGTCAAATAACAATTTGAATGGGTATACTCCCTCCAATTTTGTATTCCTTATCTGCATTTTATAAAATATTGTTACAAATCATTTTCCACACAAGTGTAAACACGATGTTTCACGAACGACATTCCCTTTGTAAAATACCACAGTGTGTACACACTGTGTTCACATAGAGTCCACACAGTACACACTGTGTTCACATAGATTCCACACAGTAAACGCTGTGTTAACTCTGTGTTTTTGAATTACATACAGTGAACACACAGTGCAACACTGTGTGAATTTACGGGATACACAGTGTGAAAAGAAATTACAGTGTGTTTATACAGTAAGCACACAGTGAACACAGTGTGATTTTAAGGAATACACAGAGTAGAAGAAATCACAGTGTGAACACATTGTGGTTCAGTGTGTTATGTAGTGAAAAACATTGATCAAACTTACAGCCTGAGAATTGCTGTGTTAAACATGCTATATATATATATATATATGTATATATATATATAATATATATATATATATGTGTATATATGTATATATAGGCACATATGTATATATA